TTAAGTTAAAGTGCTGAGTGCAGCAGCAACTGTCCTCTCTGCAGACCTGACTTAACTGCCCCACACTGTGATGGACGTGGTGATGACCGACTCTATGATGGCTGTGTAGATCCACACCATCAGCTCCTGGGGCAGGTTGAACTTCCTCAGCTGATGCAGGAAGTACATCCTCTGCTGGAGCTCTGATGGAGCTGATGTTGCTGTCCCACTTCAGGTCCCTGGTGATTTTTGTGCCCAGGAACTTGCAGGACTCCACTGCCGCCACAGTTCTGTCCAGCACGGTGAGTGCTGACAGGGTTGGAGGGCTCCTCCTGAAGTCCACTGTCATCTCCACTGTTTTCGCTGTATTCAGCACCAGATTGTTGTAGCTGCTCCAAAGGACCACCTGATCAACCACCCGTCTGTAAGCAGACTCGTCACCATCTTGGATGAGACCAATGACTGTAGTGTCATCTGCATACTTCAAGATTTTGACTGAGGGGTCCGTGGAGGTACAGTCGTTCGTGTACAGTGAGAAGAGCAATGGTGAGAGAACACCACCCTGTGGAGCGCCTGTACTGATGATATGGGTGTTTGAGGTGAACTTTCCCAACCTCACCTGCTGCTTTTTGCCAGTGAGGAAGTTGGTGATCCACTGGCAGGTGGGGGTCCGCACGCTAAGTTGGAGTAGTTTGTTGTGTAGCTGTCCTGGGATGATCGTATTAAAGGCTGAGCTGAAGTCCAAGAACAGAATTCTTGCAAACGTTCCTGGGTGTTCAAGCTGTTGGAGAATAAGATTGAGTCCCATGTTCACTGCGTCGTCCACTGACCTGTTTGCCCGGTATGCCAACTGCAGGGGGGTCTAGCAGAGGGTCTGTGATGTTCTTCAGATGGGAGATCACCAGTCTCTCAAAAGATTTCATGACTACAGAGGTCAAAGCAACAGGTCTGTAGTCATTCAACCTGTGATGGTTGCTTTCTTGGGAACTGGTATAATGGTGGAGCGTTTGAAGCAGGAAGGTACGACACACAGCTCCAGTGATTTGTTGAAGATTGTTGTGAAGATGAGTGCGAGCTGGTCGGCACAGGCCCTCAGACAGGAGGGTGATACACCATCTGGTCCTGGTGCTTTTCTCACTTTAAATAATAAAGCAACCTCAGTTTTTAACAAAGTGCTAAATCTTATTATTATTATTATTATTATTATTGCTTCCAAGTATCAGCAAATACACTATATGGCCAAAATTATGTCTCCTAATTGTTGAGATCAGGTGTTTCAGCCACACCCATTACTAACCAGGGTATAAAATCACTAATGCTCTTCTGACTGAATGGACACAAATTCCCACAGACTCACTCAAATCTTGTAGGAAGCTTCCCATTGTTTTTGAATGGGATATACAATAAGCTTGTTTAGGTGTGACGGTCAGGTGCTTACATACTTTTGTTCTTTACAGTGTACGTACATGAGAAATATTTTAGATATCAGTATCGGCCCACACTTTCCATATCAGAATCAGAATCAAGCTTTATTGGCCAGCTATGCTTACGCATACAAGGAATTTGGTTTTGGTTACAGGAGCTCACAGTACACAGTACCACACAGACATTTACACGTAGTGAATAAAATAAAATAAATATAAAATATTACAAAATAAAATAAAATAAAACATGCATTCCTACCATCACTGACTCAAACACACACACACACACACACACACACACAGTTATACCTGTAAACCTTACATTGTTTAGTTAAAGCGTGTATAGTGGCAGAGAAAGGGATCAGTGAGGTAACAGTCTGATAAGTGGGGAGGTAAGTAAGATTCTAGAATCAAAGTATCTCTAAAATATGACAAGTGGTTCCAAACTTCAGAACAGCAGTGTAGGTGAAAGCTCACAAATTAATTTCCTGCATGATGGCTAAAAATGATATCTAACGTTATTATATAATATTGTCTTATTACTTGAGAAATGTCAGGAGTTCCACACAGATACACCAACACACATCGCCATGTGCATAAAGTAAAAACATTCACCGACAGCACTGAGGAAAACTTTGATTATTAGAAAAATTTGATTATGAATTCAAATTGTTTTGTTCTGTATATTTTCACTGTTTTTCAGTAAAAATGTAAAGATCTGCCCAACTGGACACTTTTAAGAGTAATTCTAAAGGGTTAAAAGCATCACCGCAACCCAATGTAAAAACTACCAAATATTTCCAGGGGAATAAATCCAATGATTATCATCATCCAAATGAAATTTCAGACTTACACAGATCAGAGCCATCAGTAAATGTGTTGAGTTTAGCTTTGAACCCATAAGTTTGGTTAAAAGAGTAAAAAATAAATAAATAAAAAAAATAAATAAAAAAAGGGGGGGTTCTTATCCGTGGGGGCTTCTTACCCCAAAAGTTACACTCTGTATGCTGTTCTGAGCTCAGTGCTGTAACAGACACACCAGATGTTAAGAGGATAATGGACAGCAGAAGAAGCTAAATGGAAACATAGTGGCTCACCCGCTCCTCAATTATGGGTAAAGAGATGTCGATAAAGGCCTCCTTCACTGTAGAAATCTGAGAGGACACACACACACACACACACACACACACACACACACACACACTTTAGCACTATAATCTATAATTTACATCCCATTACAGTAACGTTGTTGTTGACCAGTTAATGAAGATTCACCTAAACACCCCTAAAATAAATACAATAATATATACACAAATAAACACCTTCAGAAACACCTACATGTTCACATTCTTCACACATGATGGTGTTCGTCAACTCTCCCACAAAAATTCGGTCCACAAAGTTCATCTTCACCCCCTCCTTTCCGTACGCTGTGAGGAGGAAAACACACACAGTAAACTGGAGCTTAAAAAACAAACAAACACCAACACAAGAGAAGCACGTTCACATCACTGAAAGAGTTTTTTATATATATATATATATATATATATATATATATATATATATATATATATATATATATATATACATATATATATATATATATAGCACCAAAAAGCATGGTTCTATTGCACCAAGTGTGACATCGTAACAATAGAAGAACCCTTTTTGGTGGCAATATATATATATATATATATGTCAGTACATGAATAACAAACAAACACACAAAAAATCCTCATATTTTTCATTAAAACAAAAAAAAGTTCACTCAATTTCAGACAATATGTGTTTCAGTAGTGATGATTCTTAAATGTTCCACACTGATTTTCACACTTTGGGACACATTTACTTCAATGGCATCTAACTGCTCACCATGTGGCCATGAGGGACAGGGATGCAGCCTCACGTCCTGCTCTAAAATGCAGGGGCGTGGCTTTTTTTAAAAATTAAATCTAAAGTTTGAACACCTCTGGTTAAAACATGTTGTTTATTTTCTAAGTGAAATTAGTGAAGAAACCCTCTACAGTCAACATACATAAATTAGGCCTTTTCTTGCTAATTTTCGTGCACAGTTTCTATTTATTTAGTTAAAATACACTTTAACACTAAATGTTGGAAGTTGTAGTGAAAACAAGCTAAAAAACTGTAATTCGATATTCATTATTTCTCACATGTAGCTTATTTAAAGAAGGGAAGAAATTCTGTGTAACGTTCAGATCCTGAACTTTCAATCCATATCACACTTGTGTTTGTATGAGAGGAGACATCCTTTATCCATTAACATCCTCTATTCCATATCTTTAGATTTTCCTGACTGTATTATTATTTTTATTCACATTACGAAGACTTCTGATAGGTTAGAGGGCTTGGATTTGTTTGATGCTGTAAACACAATAGCTGTACAATAGAAAATGTTTTGATTATGGCTGAACAAAGTTTCCAAACACCAGGCTTTAAAATCCTCAATACCTGCTGAGAATCTTCCATTCCTATAAACACAAGTAAATAAACATGTGACACTGCCACTAGATGGCGATATTGCTCTAAGTGACAAACAAAAACAAGCTGTGAATGAGTCTGTACTGTACGTGTGTGTGTGTGAGTTTGTGTGTGTGTGTGTGTGTGAGTGAGTGAGTGAGTGAGTGTGAGATACAGCTTCACTACCTTTCACTTGTCGTTTGGTTTCCTCGTCAGCCGTCTTCTCAGTGGGGTTATTGAAAGCTTTCAGGATGGCTGCTTTGATTCGCTGTCAATTTAAAGACCAGAAATAAAAGAATCTCATTATTGGCTTTAAAAGGACACCTTCATCACTGCCTCACATTAAATATCCATGAAGACATTTAATGTATACAGTAGTTAATCCATTCTTTAAATTACTGAAGATTTTAACACACTTGAAAAGCAGAGAAACGTCTGGTTTAAATATCTAAATACTTACAGCCTTGATAGAGTCTAACAGCCATCAGTCACAGATAAAATTACTACGTTTTGCCTTCTAGTATTTAATATTAGTTGAAATCAAACCATTTTAATATGTTAAGAGATTAGAGGAAACATAGTGATACAGGGCTGCTAATATACTGTAATTATTAATATTTTTTTACTCTGCATAAAATAAAATTAAAAGATGGGGGTGGGGGTGGAGGGTTTGGGGTGAGCAGTATCTGATTTTATATCTTGCATATCATCACTGTCCAAAGAAAACAAACGGCTTATTTACAGAGAAGAAAAACACTCTTTACTTTCAGTTTAAGGTGATGTAAAGAGATTTTATTCCAAGCACATTTGGAGCAGCTATACTGCTCCAGTCTTCATAAATTTCCCCACAATATAAAGAATATCTACCCTGTTTAAATGTAGAAAAGTAAAAAAAAAAAAAAAGTTTTCTTTGAAAATATGAATCACATTATTTTCACCATTATTTGACTTTTTAAAGAAAAACTGAAAAAACAGTTGTTGCACTATCCATATAGACCGCACTGCCCTGCATTGTACTGTGTTTTATTGTACCACAGGAGCTACACTGTGTAGTGAACATTAAGATCCACATTGTGTTGTGAGAAGTGTGTTGAACTTGTTAACATTCAGAGCGACTGGCGTCCTTGTTTGTTACTCTCGCTGTTTTTATGTGTGCGGCGGGTCACGCAGGGAGCCGTTCAGTGTGTTTCAGAGTTTAAGTGTTTGCTGAATGTGAATTTCAATGCTGTACATACCTGAAGACCCCTGTGACCTTCCATACACTCTGCATCTGAATGCAGAAGAGCAAGCAGGTGTGCTTTTCCATGCCATGTGCCCTAGAAGGTGTGTGTGTGTGTGTGTGTGTGTGTGTGTGTGTGTGTGTGTGTGTGTGTGTGTGTTTCTTTAGCCCCCTAATTAGCATTGCTGCAGTAACAGCAGCAGAAAAAAAAACACCCCAAGGTCATAAGGAAGAAACACTGAGGATTCAAAAGGTGAACTTTCTTGCGTGGAAAGTAACGCAGTGCACAGCTGTGGAATACAGACAAACTGTGATACAGTCCTGCAATACAGCATTGAGCACAAGTCAAACACTACATTTATTTAATTAACCAGAAAATGACACAGTGACCCCAACAACGGAATATAACATTTTTCAGTATTTTGTGTGTCGACTCTGTCTCTGTTAGACCTTCCACTCTTTTGAGGGGTCTTGCTTTCAGTTTTTCAAAGAAATCTGCAGGGAAGTTTTTTTCACACCTCCAAAGTTCTGTCTTAGAAGTTGGTTTATCATTTTCTGAAGTACACTGAGTGATGCTGAGGTCTGGACTCTGGAGTCTGGTCAGTCTTTTGGTTTAAAAACAACAGCAGGTTCTTTGATTGATTGATTTTCTCAGTGAGGTTCTTCTTGATCAGCTACACATCCTTTCAGACCCACAGCGCTGAGTCGTCTTCTGACAGTGGAAGGATGGACAGAAACACCTGTATTTTGGATTTGGATTCTCTCAGATCTGGAGGAATCCCTTTCTCTGCATCTTTCAATCAATTTTATGAACCCCAGTTTTGGAAATGCTATTTTTGTCCCTTTGACTTCGCCCTTCTTTACGCACTTTCATATTAATATCTACTCAAATATTTATAACAGTAATTAATGCTATACTTCTGACTACAGTTGCTTTTGTTTGATTACATGAATAATTGATCACACAGCTCAATTACACATTGCAACCTTGTGATATTAGTATTACAAAGGCCTACATCCTGGTGATTACAGAATTAACAAATGACCGTAAACACATGTACCTCCTTTTTATATCCTTTTCTACATCATCTGAACATGGCAGCTGTGCTTCACATCATGTGAAAATGTCATGATGAATGGACCAGTAAAAATGATCCAACATCATTTGGAGTTAAATCTTTTTACATCAACCTACGTTAAAATAACGTTTTTTTCTTTCTCTTTTAAGGTCACTATTTTGGAGATGCTTGTTTTCCCTTAAACAGCGACAAGCTGGACTACAAATACACTAAAGTGGACCTGATTGTAAAGGATATCAGGGATGTATATATGCTCGTATCAGTGAGTGTGTTGGTGAGTGTGTGAGGTTAATGGGAGGCGACGTGGTCAGTGAGTGTGTTAGCGAGTTAGCTGTGAGGAGACACAGCCACAGTAAAGCACTAATCAATAGATAATTGGTCGTGGTGGCGTTTGTCTGGGGGTTTTGACCAATTTCGCTATTGTCCTGTCTCCATGCCATGGCTATTTAGGTCAAAAGCCTGGCTAATCCCTCTCCTTCACCCCAAAACCCCCTCTCAGAGAGGCACCCCACTGCGCCCCTCACTAATTAATCACCAGCCCAACGCCTAAACACACACACACTCGCTGTCTCAGAGGAGTGTATGTGATCCTCTCTTAAGAATCCATCCCTACATGCAAGTCCCTGCTCAGACCAGATCATTACCCAATAGGATAATTGGCAATAATTACCAATTAGCATATTTTCACTACTCATGCTAACAGCTAATAAACGCTGATCTTGGTGGCGTTGGTGCTTAGCGGCAGGTTGGCTGAAGGGCTGTAGTTCACACGCACCTTGAAGCGGAACCCGTGGAGAGATAAGTGCATAACTTAAGTTCCGCATAATTACATTGTTAAAATGTAAACAAGGTCATTCAGAGTGATTCTCTGTGAAACGTGCCGTTCTATGGAGTCAGAACTGTTCACAGTGGTGGTGATGGGAACCAGACGTCCAAAACATTTAACCCTGTAAAAGCTCTCTCACAACTTAATACATGAAAATAAGACAGGAATACGCTGCACACTGACCGAGACGTTATTTTAAGACTGTTCTGAGATCATATTATGGCCTAAAATGTAATTTTACTTTACATGCAGAGCAGAGAGGTACATGAAAGGCATTACCAAGCAAAACAGTCCACAAAGAAAATCTTTTTTTCAGTGTTACCACCATTTTATCATAAAACTCAGACGACACATGTAGGTTCACTGATCGTTAAGAGTGTAAATGAAACTGCTATATTTCAGTTGTAAACACTGTGAGCCCTGGTTCCCATCACCACTGTAAAGAAATATCAAGTTGGAAAGTTTCTCAAATCATTCTATATGACTTTGCTTCTTAATATCTGAATTATGCAGAGATACTGAAGAAAGAAAAAAGTGTAATTCCCCTTTAAACTCATGGAAAACATGTAATACTTGCACAATTTTGAGACATTTATTAGTTTATATTGAGAAAAAATTTGGACGCAGATTTAAATCTGTGACATTTTGCGGTTTGATATTGTGTTTTGAAAATAAGGTGAAGGTGAAATGGATTACAGCCATCAAAAAACAGGCATCATTAAATAGACACACTATTCACATATTTAGATGCAAAGCCTTTGTAGTAACACTTCACTAAAACAAACAATGGATAACACTAAAGAGCCAAAATAACACCAAAAAACCTCCAAGGCCAACTGCTATTTATCAAAACAAACTACACTGCCCTGATATTCTACATTAAAGGGTTAAAGAAAACTGAGCTGTTCTATAGTTTTTAAATAAGAGCTTAACGTAACACAGAAGAAAAACATGCTATTCATTCACCAGTCAATACAGTCCATATGTGCTTTTTGGCAAATTAAGCTAAACATACAGTCCTGTGCAAAAGTCAGAGACCCACCCCCGCTCTCTATTTAGTACAAGTCTTTTGGGAGATGTTTCTGAGGAGGGTTAGATTTGAGATGATCCCCTTGCATAAGGAAGGAAAATTAGTGAAAAAAGTAGTTTCCAAAACTGGAGAAACTGATTTAAAGCTAGAGAGAAAATGTGTCTCCTAGCAACCACCTGGAAGAGCTGGTAGACCCCCAAACTGCCCCCATCAGATAAACAGCACTTAAAGCTTTCATCTCTGAGAGAGAGGAGAAAATCAAGCTGATCAGATCTGAAAACATCCACAGGTGTTTCTGTCCATCCTTCCACTGTGAGAAGACGACTCAGCGCTGTGGGTCTGAAAGGATGTGTAGCTGATCAAGAAGAACCTCACTGAGAAAAGGAGACGGACACATCAAACAAAGAAGCTGAACGATGGACTGACCACCTTTTTATTTCTTTGTTCTGTTTTAAAACATTCGGTTATGAAAAGGTACAAATACAAGCTTTTCACCTGGAAAAAACTTATTTAAGGTTCACAGTCAGACCTTTATTTCTAACAGTGTGTATATGGTTCTATATAGCACCAAAAAGGGTTCTTCTATTGTGTAATGTCAGCCTTGTTACAGTAAAAGAACCCTTTTTAGTGCTACACAGAACCTTTTCAGAAAGGTTATATACAGAACCATCCACAGTGCATTCTCCATTAATCCGCTTTCATAATGCAACTTTGATTACACAAAAGGTTCTTTATAAACAGAACATTTTTCTTTACTAAAGAACCCTTGAAGAACGATTATTTTTAAGTGTGATGCTCTCTGACTTTTCCACAGTACTGTACATTCTAACTGGATCTGTGGGAAGAAAACGCAGGGCGTTTTCTGCACATACAGGGTTATTATAGCGACTGTGAAGCTGCTCAGACTCTCAACGCTGAAAGCTAATGTAACTGTAAGTACTGCACTGCTGTGCTGAGTCTGGGACACACGCATGCATGAATGAACAAATGTGGTTAATGAGAGCATTTGTGCAGTGTGAGCCCCCCTGACCCCCCCCCCGCGTGTGTGTGTGTGGGTGTGTGTGACTCCCACTCAGCAGCTGTGTGTTTCCCAGGCTGCACAATGCGTCCTGCCTGCCGCGCCACTCGCAGGGTTTCTAAGTGCCACAACTGTGAGCATTCACAGGTCTGAGTGGGGTCCGTCCCAACTCCTTCAGGCTCACAGGGCCACTGGGCCACCGGGCAAGGCCACCACGTCCTGACCACATGCCTGTTTCGCCTGGGGGGGCCTTGGGGGGGCTCCCCAAAACTCACTACTGAGCTATGAACCTAATGATAAGCCATAAAGTCAGTACAGAACGTTAGAGATGCACCGATACAGAATTTCTGAGTCGATAATGATATCTGGTAACGTCTCATGGCCGATACAGATGTTTTAAAACAAGCTGACTTTATAATCCATATTGTCCAAAAAACAATTTTACCTCCATTACCATTGATTTTTATTTCTCTACATCTTCTGAGCACATTAGCTGTCCTTTATATTGTGAGACAATGTAATGATGAATGAACCCAAATCATCATCAATGATGTTCCAAAATCATCCAGAATAAAACCTCTTTTCATGAACTTACAATAGCAGTGAAGAGAGCTTTTGCCTCCTAATGACAGACAGCATTTTAATAGTTAACAAGCTCTGATGGTACATGATTGACCTTGAATTAGAGTAAAATAGACGTCCACCTCTAAAAGCTTCCTCACAGAAAGTTCCTACATGAAATGGTTATGAATTCACTGCCTGATGACTGAGACACTGTTTTATGATAGTTTTGCTTTATGTTTTTGGCTTAAAGTGAAGTGATACATGCAGGACATTATTCATTTCAAAAAAGTTCCCAAATAAAACTTTTTCCACTATTTTACTATAATATCAAGATTACATATAATAATTCAATTATGCAGAAATTTTGAAAAAAAAGATGGGATTCCACTAATGCTTTTAAGGTCTTTAATAAAAATGCTGTCTGGATAGAGACCTAGATTGACTGCAAAATTCAGTCAAAAACACTGTTGCTGCAGAATTTGAGTGTTTTTATGTTCAGTTTTAACATAAAACATCGGAGACCTGTGATGTACAGTAAGGTAATCTAACGTGTTTTTCTGGCCATTTACACCCCTACTGTCTTCTCTCCAGTGAAAACACACTCACCTTGCTCTCCTCCACCCTGACCGAGTCCAGCAGGTAGTGCAGGAGCTCCTGACTGTCCTGCTGCTGGTAGCCCTTAAAGCGCGGAGCCCTGCGGAGAGGAGGACACGGAATAAACTGCTGTTCCACAAACAACACTGTAAACACTTCAATACAGGCCAAAAGAAGACAAGCCAATTGTTTGTACACTCTCTCTCTCTCTCTCACCCTACACACACACACACACACACACACACACACACACACACACACACACACACACACAGGCAGACAGCAGGAAAAATGTCCATTCTCTGAGCTCAAGGCCTTTCCTCTGTTACTGCATTCGGAAACTCTCCAGGTTTTAGTCCCTTACAGCAGCTATTATTCTACTGCTGACAGCTTTCTTTCAACCAGCTGAGGTCACACACACACACACACACACACACACACACACATCCACAAAAAACCCACACACATACACAAGCACACTTCTTAAGAAAAATGGGTTATTTTCAGGTTTTCCGCTAATTCTGTTCATTCGTCAGTGCATATAAACAGCAGACCAACAGATCAAACAGTGCCAGATCAACCTGGCACAACTAAACAGTGAACACACACACACACACACACACACACACACACACACACACACACCTTCTAGATTAAAGTAAGAATGAAACAACCTACTAAGTAAGACCCTCAAGTTTCTGCCACTGCAGAGCAACAATACTAACCCTATCTAACCAAACACTCAACAGCCCATAATATTCATACAGTTCTTTGTGTTCTGTCACAAATAAAACACACCAAACATATGAATGAACAGCACTGAGAAACATGAAATGTGGCTTGTGCTAAAGTTCTGACATTTTTTTTCCAGTTTTATTTTTTCCAATATTTTAACTCTGCAAATAAATAGAAACTGTCCACTACAGAACAGTAACAATATTTATGTTTGTTCTCTGTAAAAAATGTGTTCAAATCAACAAAAACGCAGTTCTTTCCGGAGGTGTCCACACTTTTGCATGACTCCATGTCTATACACACTGACCAGCCAATTCATTTAGAATAGTCTACTGTAAAATACTAAAACACTCTACTCTAAAATACTACAATACTCTGAAATACTACAATACTTTACTCTGAAATACTACTATACTCTAAAATACTATACATTACTCTAAAATACTACAATACTCTACTCTGAAATACTACAATACTCTACTCTAACATACTATAATACTCTAAAATACTACAATACTCTACTCTGAAATACTACAATACTCTACTCTAAAATACTATAATACTCTAAAATACTACAATACTTTACTCTGAAATACTACAATACTCTAAAATACGACACATTACTCTAAAATACTACAACGGTTTACTCTAAAATGCTACAATACTCTACTCTAAAATACTACAACATCCTACTCTAAAATACTATAATACTCTGAAATACTACAACACTTTACTCTGAAATACTGCAATAATTTACCCTAAAATACTACAATACTTCACTCAAGCTTGTGTCTATTTTTTTGTTCTGCCTGATTGATGTAAGTTTGTGCAATTATATATTGCTACTGTAACACTGCAATCAATCTATCTAGAACACTGCCTTGTGTCTGCACTGTCAATTTTCTCAGTTAATAAATGTAGCAAAAAATAAATAATAATAATAATAATAATAATAATAATACTTAAACACTGAATTATATTCTGACAGCCCTAATCAGTGTTAACCATTTGTTAGATTTTTACTGTACTTTACACAAAAGAAACCCTTAGTAACGTCTTATAGTGTTAATCTGGAACACCTGGTCAGTCCGACAGCCGCAGTACATTACAGAAAGTGTAGGGGGCAAAATGACCTCAACTATTTCACTGCACCATAAGAGAAAAAAGTGCTGCACTCAAAAATGTAAGTATAAATTACAGTGAGAAAGTGGAGAGGAAGAGAGAAGTGAATTCAAAAGTATTAACGGCGAGAAAACCCAGTATTTAAAGTTCCTATCCAGAACCGGTTTATCTGATCAACGCTTCACTAAACTAAATCAGGAGTCCTGCTGTTGGAATTTAACACATATATGCAACGGCTGGACCAAAACAAGATATCAACGACTATCAATAACAAGAAGCTACTGCTACATTTTACTGTGACTAAAAAAACACATACAAGCCCACACAGTTTTAAACGGTGTTCATGGCTTCAGACAGTACTGTACACATCAGTGATCTACACTCGTTTCCAAAACTCTTCTCCATAGCGCCCCCAACTTCTGAAACCAAAACTATGCATTTGCAGTCAATTCTAGGAATAACGGTCGGCTGCTGGTCATGATAAATCAGACGCAGAAACTCTCAGAAGAGCTGGAATGAACAAGATGACATGCTGACCACACTGATCAGTTTCAGCACAGCACAGTGTTTCAAGTCAAGTCAAGAGGGTTTTATTGTCATTTCATCTGTGTAGAAGTACACAGTGGAGTGAAACGACGTTCCTCCAGGAACAACACGGTGCAACATGGAAAACAGACAGTACAAAGTGCAAACGTGCAGACATGAGTGTACAAAACATTACACTAGAAACAGTACAATAAATATGATAATTAAAACAGACATTAGACACAGTAAACAGACAGGACAGTACAGGACAGTGCAGGACAGTGCAGAACAGTGCAGGACAGAGCAGGACAGTGCAGAACAGTGCAGGACAGTGCAGGACAGTGCAGGACAGTGCAGAACAGTGCAGCGTCACAGCACTCATTTCTGAGCATGAGGTAGTGAGAAGAGAAGGTGCAGAGATGTCTAACATGCTGTGATCTGTGAGTATCTTCATCATAGCCCTGAGCTGCATACAGTGGACGGTGAGCTGCCATGTTGGAGATGGTGGAGTCACGCCTCCTGCTTTCTCACTCCTCAGGCACTCTCTCCTTGAACTCTCCCCTGTCCACCTTGGGCCAGATGTTAGCCAGATGCTGCAGCCAGATGCTTTTCAGTGGCCAGAGCTGCAGAAACCTGTTGTGCAGTGCCAGCCGTGCAGGGCCAGCTGGTGTGGTGTCATCCACAGACGTTAGGATTAAAGAGAGGCCAAAGGTCACAGCTCACCGAACTACAGTGCGCTGCATGTAAGGGCTCGTGTAAAAGAAGCTACAGAAGAATGTAACAGTAGCCTCTGACTGTCTCTCCAGTCGTAAAAAAGCTATAAATCTGACATCCTTTTTGCTCAAGAAAGAGGCGGAACTGACCCTCACAGAAATCTGACTGGCCACCACAGTGTCCCTGACACTGAAGCTAGTGGTTGGTAGGTCACTAGACTGTCAAGTCACCTCCTCATCAGCCGCAGATTCATTTTAGGAAGCAAGAAAAAATGTTTGCTGTACTGGAACTGAACTAAGATGAGCATTCTGGTTCCTCATTTCAGTACCAGATGATGTCAAGATGGACCACTTCAGCACGGGGACCACCAGCCACCACAACCTCAATATTCTTATTATAATGAAATCTTTAATAACTGATTCCTTTTTTCAAAGCCTTTAAAAATAGTACCAGAGCATGTCTGTTAACTGTAAACATATATTAAATAAACATGTTTCTATTATTTTGGTCATGAGACTCACTGGCTTAGTGGTCCGAGTGGCCAGTGTAAATTTTTATATCTGCAGCTGTTGGTGAAAATAAGACACGTCAACTTTAAGAAGTAAATTCTTAAAAAAATAATAGTAATAATTAAAACTACTACTGGTTTTAAGAGATAAACATCTGAGCGGAACACAGAATTTCACCAACGAATGCCCTGATGTGGATGTGTGTGTGTGTGTGTGTGTGTGTGTAATAGGGCGGATGGTCAGGCAGTTTGGGTTGATGAATTCTGACGGTTTGTCCGGCTCTGGGTGGCCGAGCATAGAGAAGGAGCTTCTGCCACCTGCTCCAACACAGGCCACATCCCTCCCTTCATCCCTCCCTCCTCTTCTGTGTCTGTCCTCTGTCTCCTCCACAGAGCTTTGCCCAGGGGGCGCTTCATTAGGGGTCAAACCCCACCATCCAATAAAGTGCCACAGTGACGAGAAAACCCACCATTTCCACACAGACTGTTTAAATAATTTGAGAACAAAACTTGACTTTTCCACTTTACTAAAGTCAGTGTGAACTGGAAACCATGACGTTTCTTCACACCGTAACGCCGTATCAGGGAGGGTTTCTGAGACCTCCCTGAGGAGGTAAAACACAATATTACTGGTTAATATTTTTCACTGCCGGCTGGTTCACAGTGATGTAATTACAACTTAGTGATGTAATTACAACATTTTAGAGGCAGTTAAATGTCCCTGTACTTCCATTATATATAATGATGATAAACTAACGAGGTGAAAAAAGAGCCATTTTGATTCAGGTTGACTTTAATGGAACCGTTCTAAGGGTTTTACAGGTTAAAGTTTGTAAAATAATCTAATTCTCTCAGTTTACCCCTTATGCAAAAATACAACTGAAGACTTCCATTCCAAAATGCTGTATATTCATTTATAACCAGATGGCAAATGAAAAGAGCAACATCTGATGTATATGTATACATTTTCAGTGTTACTGATCAGAATATAGAAGTACTGAGAAAAATCTAGCTTCAGGATGACTCCTACTACACTTTCTAGCTTTGTGCTGTACAGTATGCAGTTTTTAATTTCCAGGCAAAACAGTCTTTAAGTACAAGCTATTGAATTTTGAAGAGATATTTCTGAGGAGATATAAGAACCCACTCTAATAAAGAAGAGAGAAGTGGAAAAAATGATTAAACAATGCAGAATAAAATGTGCCTCCTAACAGCCACCTGGAAGAGCTGGTAGACCCCAAAACTGCCCCCATCAGATAAACAGCACTTAAAGCTTTCATCTTTGAGAGAGAGGAGAAAATCAAGCTGATCAGATCTGAAAACATCCACAGGTGTTTCTGTCCATCCTTCCACTGTGAGAAGACGACTCAGCGCTGTGGGTCTGAAAGGATGTGTAGCTGTCAAGAAGAACCTCACTGAGAAAAGGAGACGGACACATCAAACAAAGAAGCTGAACGATGGACTGACCACCCCAGAGTCCAGACCTCAACACCACA